GTACGTTACGCATAAAAAGTAGTTTTTAAGAGTTTTTGTCAAATACTTTATAATATAGTATAGATAATATATTAAAACATTTGATAACATTAAAATCTGAAATAAACATATTAAAATTATTTTTAATTGTATGTGTTATAGGGATTTCCACCCTTTGATGCATATTAGGATGAGATGTACTAAGATTTATTGGATCAATTTTCGTATCAAGCATTATTTATGAGTGAGTTTGAGATTAAGGGTGATCAAGGGTCCAAATCTCTTCTTACATTTATCATCTTAACTCTCATTTTCACACGATATTTTGTCATGTGTTATATTTAGTAACCATTAAATATGTGTATTTGTTAAATACGATTACAAATAAAATTTTATTATCAAGATAATAGTCTTATAAAAGTTTATCGAATCATGTGTAATTGAAAATTCATGTGTTAAATAGTAAGGGTGAGCATAGGCAGGTACCCGTCCTATTTGATAGAAACAGGAATAGGAACCGGCGGTTCTTAAGATATTGGAACCGGAACCGGTTAGAGCGATTCTTGAATTTTTGGAACCGGAACTGGAACCGCCAGGAACCGGTTCCGGTTCCGGGTACCCGTTTCCTAAAATATTAAAATTTTGTTATTTAAAAATAAAAAATAAAATATTGTCAAAACAATAAATCAATTAACAAGAATACAAATTATATGGAATCATACTTAAAAATATTGTTTAATGATTACAAACCATAATAGACTAATAATAAATGTTGAAAGTTTAGCAATTACATACTATAATTGTAAATGTTCAAAGTTTAACGATTACATACTATAATTCGATTTGAAGACAGTCCGTGAGAGGCCTCAGGCCTGAGAGTATGAGTCGATGAGGCGGGACCAAAAATTTAATCTAGAATTCTAAGTTCTTGACCTAATTTAAGTTTAGTATTAAAAAAATTAAAAATTTTTAATTGAAAAATACCGGGTACCTGCCAATTCCGGTTTAGGGTACTTGCCGGTTCCAGGTACCCGGTCCCGACGGGTAACAGTTCCGAAAAATTGAGAACCGGAACCGGAACCATTCTCAATCGGTTCCGTATTTTAGGAACCGGAACCGGAACCACTCATATCGGTTCCGGTTCCGGAACCGACAGTTCCAAGGCAGTTCCGGTTCCACAAGTAGGTATCCGGTTCCGCTGCTCACCCTTATTAAATAGTATTATTTTACATGTATAATAATATAGACTTATAAATGGAACTTGTATAGTTAATTATTTATAATACTTATTAATTATTTATAATACTTATTAATTATATCAATTATTTTATATTATTACTTTTAATA